CTAACAGCTTTCCAGGATAACAGGGACTGCATTTGTTTCACTAGTCAGGAAACTCGTGCATGCTCCAAAATGATATGACTTTGCATCCTGTTCCTTCTGGAATTGATACAGTACAGCACTATGTGAATACTTGTTCCCAGGACAGGAAATTCACTTGTCTTTCACACTACAAACAATTTAGACTTCCAGAAGCAAAAGCTAGATATTCTCTTCCAGTTTGCTACAAGCTTTTAATTCCAAGACATACTCTTAGAGCCACAGCAGTATGCAGTGCTGCACTGTACATTAACACTCTTGTCTACCAGTTCTGATAACACAACACTCACATTTTCTGAAGGTGGGATTTCCATTCGAGTTGGCTGGAGAACCATATCTACAGAAAAATGTTCTGTATTTCTGCTCTGTCTGCCTGTAGAAAGAGCAGGGGACTTAATTACTCCCTGCCCAAATGTCCATTCTCCATTTTCTCACAACAAGGACAGATTTTGTTTTGCACGTATCACTGGTGGTATCCCAGTACAGGGTCCCAGCTCTACAAGCGGAAGTCTTTTGTTTCCACTAGATGTGCAACTCCACTGAATTTTGGCTACACACTTTTGTGTCAAGTCAGCCTGCATATTAGAGAAGGGAGCCGATGTCAACAAGCAGTTCAAATCACATACAAATATCAAGTTTCTTGTCTTGCTCCCTATATACCCTGCATTTCCCCTTCACTAAGTCCCAACTGTGCCAGCCAAAGCTGTAAGGAGCTTGCGTGTTTTGTGGCAAGAAAGAAGTACCACTGCAGAAACAGGCCTTCTCCATGGGCCAGGTGGAAAATAAGAAATGTTCACGACAGCCAAATGCTGGCTGGAAGTCCCTTGGAAGTCTGTGAACCCGTGCCCTGCAGTCTGGTGGGAGACAGGGAGAATTTAATGGATACTTCTCTTCTTTAAAGATCTGCTTTAAAGATCTATGTTTTCCACTTTTTTTGCATTGACAAGTGACTGCCCTGATGATGAAACCCGATTTCAACTGAGCCTGAGGTAGTGGGTTTATTAGGCCATTTCATAACTGACTTATCTGTTGCCGTTCAAGGTCATTAGTGCAGTATCTCAGTTGTAGTTTGCTATTACTATTTAGCAGTCACTAATTAGCAGTCACACAATTTAGACTGTTAGAAGGTTCCCAAATTGCTATGGACAAGCAAGAAGAGGCTAGAATGCCACCTGTCCCTGTGAAAGCAAATCCTTTGACTTAAGTAAACCAGCTGGAGGATGGTATCATTTCATACATTCACAGTTTGAGAGATAAGCGTTTTAGCATGCAAAATAGAACTTCAGTACAAAATCAGTTTTTAGCGCTTCAAAAAGTGTTTTCTCTATGCCAAGATCTCATCAGGAATATAGACACTCTTAGCACAGTGTGTCTTGCACAAGACAAATTCTCTTTGCTCATTCAGGTAGGATTTTTGCCTCTTGTATCCTCACCATGCTAACTGAATAAAAATGGCTGCATCGTTCTCCTCTCGTGCCCTCCTGCCAGAACAGGAATGTCATCAAGCCTAAAAAAAAGAAAAGGAAGATTTCTACAGTGAGAGAGAACATCTTGAAGAGCTTTCTGGGGAAGATCAGCAATTCTCAGCAGAAGTCAAACAAAACTGCAAAGCAATGACTGCTTGCTGTTTTCAAAGAAATGTCTCCTCTCCAAAACCATCCTGAGCATGTCAAGAGGAGAAGGATGTTCCTGAACTTGTTTTTGGGCAGCATAGTCTATGTGGTGGCCATTCATTGTCTTTCATGAAGACCTGCTCAGCTGAAGAAAGCTGATCAACTAACAGATCCAAACAGCCCTTTGTCTCCGACTGGAGTTATTTATACAAGCTGGGAAATGAGGATGGGAAGACTTACTGCTGAACCAGATCTGACACGCTGACAGCAGTCCAAGGCTCCATGCAATGAGCAGAACGACACACAGGGAGCTGGCTCACAGCAAGGCTTAGTCTACAGCTGGTCACGATGGCAGCCTGTCTGAGATTATGTATGAAAAGGACAAGGCTTGTCCTTTGGCAACTGAGCCCAAAAGTTATGAACTTCCTATGGCCAGAGACACAGAAGACTCATGATACTAGTCAAAGGCAACATGTGTTTTCCCAAAGCAGCAGCTGTTTCCAAAAATATAATCCACCTCTGGTTCTTCATGTACTGGGAACGTGTACTTGGCATGGCAGGCACAGCTCCTGACTCAGGCAGTTTCTAGTCCACCGGGATACTTCAGCTGTTGAAGCACCAAGCTTTCGTCCAAAAACATCTCTTTCTGAAAAACTTCTGAAGTCAAGAGCTGAACTGTCCTACTTTTGTTCACTTGGAAAGAACATTCTGGTTTCGTACCCTGGGTACCTTCCCTCTGTGCCAAATGACCGAGCACAAATTGACAGCAGTCTGTCACATGCCCGAGAAGCCTTTGGTCCTCAGCAGTTGGGCCAGCCCACTAAGGCAGCTGGACCCTCCTGGCACTGGGGCGAGCAGTACAGAAGGAGGGTGGCTCAGGGTCCCTGTTGTGCTCACGATCCCTTGAGGGGAGCCAGGGCTGGCGAACCGAAGGCTGTTCTCCTGGCTTAGCTCCCAGGAGCACTCAGAACAGGGAGTGGGGAGCAGCAGCATGGACTGATCAAGGGAAAACCCCACCTGTCCTACCCGATTGCCTCCTGTCATGAAGTAGCTGTGTTTGGGGCAAGAGTAGAGCAGTGGGTGTCATTTGCTTTGGCATTAGCAAGGCTTTTGACACTGCTTCCCGCAGTATTGCTGTATCAAAGCTAGAATGTTACGGCCCGGATGGGGCTGGGGATGACAATTAGGTGGGTAAAAAGCTGTCTGGATGCTCAGGCTCAGAGTCGTGGTTAATGGGTGCCTGGGGGACAAGGACTGCTCCAGCCTGGTCCCATACCCTGCCTCACAGTCCAGCACCCAAAACAATGGCAGCATGGTTGAATGAGATAAGCCCAGCCCCAAAGGTACCAACTGCTTCCAGGGAACATGTGGTGAAAACATGGGAAAAGAAAAGATGAAAACCTGTAGCAAATGCATGGAGAATGTATCCAGCCAGAGCTTTCTGATCTTTCACCAGAGGGTGTACGCTAACCAGCACCTCAGACCCAGAAATCAGGTGGATCTAAAATTTTCTCTCTCTGACATTTGGAAATATTTGTCTGGAGAATTTATGGCCCTTCATCAACTCTGCCAGATCTTCACTTAACCTATTCATCTTCCACTTTACAACTTATACACTCTCCAGACTAGCATAGGTTCTTCTGATTCTTATGACTGAAAAGCCCAACACCCTAATGTGTTTTGCAGAGTGTGAAACCACAGAATCTTCCCAGTGTCTGCCTTTTCTCAACCTACTAGGAAGGAAGTATGTGATTCCCTGGAAACACATCTCTGCTGTTGCTGTTTCCTGAACAACTGTGACAATTCTGCAGAGTCAATATCAACAGCCCATCTGGCAGCAGGGCCGTGGAGTGCTGCGGCATGGGGCTGGTCCCCATCTTCCACTGTTCACTCGTTGCTGGGCAAAGCTGCGCTCAGATTTTGTGCAGACACACATGGTCAGTGTGTTTTTTAAAAAGAAAAAAGATTTTTTTTTTTAATAGAGTAATGCTCAAATGAAGAATCAAATCTCTCAGACAAGACAGACAGTCACATCCAGAGGTGATGGCAGTCTCCATTGCAGGCATCCTTCCAACAGCATCTTGAGCTGGAGCAGATGAGATTTACGGAGCTGGTTTTCCAGTGAGTTCTCTCCATCGAGACTGACCCGCTCTCCCTGTCCAGCACCCCCTTCGTGTCACTAGTGCTGAATGGCACAGTGCAACCAGGTGCAGGGAGGGGCAGGGCAAAGTGGACACCAAGAAGCCAAGCTGTGATTGGTGGGGATGCTTGCCACCCTGGAGTGATGGTGGGGAGGATTGACCAGCACCCTTCCTCCCCACCCTAGTGTGAGAGAAGTGAGGGCCTCTCTGATTGGCCACTGCTTTCCCCACCTTGCAGTAAGGCCTCTTCCCATTGGCCACTCGTGGTTCTTGTGGCACTGCACCAGCCTGGGGAGCGGCAGCCATGGGCACCCCAGCAGGACCGCGAAAGGTGAGGGAGAGGGAGGGGCAGTGCTGGGCAGTAGTGACAGTGCCCCCCCTGCTGACAGGCACCTGTGTGGGAGGGTCACCCTGGCAGCCATGGGGGGCCACAGTGCTGTCCTGGGCCATGGGGCCTCTGGTGATTCTTGAGTGGCAGTAGTATTCATCATGTGTATGACATCATGAGCACATATTTTCTTATGAGCACTTGTGACATCACCAGAGATGTCCCAAAAAGCCACACTATGGTTCATGACACAGCGAACGCTAATTACTAACTAGTGCTAATCATCAGTACTTCTGCCATAGCAGTGAAGTCATCAGTGCCCATGGCATAGCAGGAATAGTGACACCACCATTGTTTTTTCCATCGTGTTAGTGACATGTGAGTCATGTTGCAAACAACTGTGACAAAAGCAGCAATATGATGCTTTGGTGATTCACCTGCACTTTGTCTGATGTCAGGGCATCAGTGATGTTATGGGTGTAAATGACATTATACAACACAAAAGTATCATGAACAGTATCAGAAACCAGGTCAAAGTCATCACTAGCAACAATGCCTTTGTCACTGATGATGTTATTCCTGTCAGTGCCACCAGTGCTGGTAATGTTATGAGTGGCAGTGATATCATCAACATCCACAGTAACACAAAGGACAGCACATTGAGGTCCACTAGGAGCTGGGACACCTTTCCCTCTCCTCAGGGTTGGGGACAGAGCTAGTCCTGCTGGGGCTGGGGGTGGGAACACCTTTGCCCCAGGGCTGGGGAGAGCTGTGGCCTGGCTGGCAGCTTGGAGGCACCCAGTCCCTGTGCCCGACTATGGGAACAGTGGTGGTATTGCTGGGGAGGTTGGGGATGCAACTATCCCTGGGGTTGTGACAGCAATGGCCCTGGCAGTTGGATTGGCTGACTCTAGGTGGGGATGGTGCGGGCCCTGCAAGGAATGGGGTTGGGGACAACCTTGTTCCTGGACTTGGTGGTGGGCAGTGACCCTGACAGTGCTCACAGCCTTGCTCCTTCTGCTTTAGCCCCAGTGCCGTGAAACCGAGATCTGTGTGTGGTGAGTATGGCCCCAAGCATATTCTGAAATGTCCCCTGTTCTCCCCAGCCACCCCCAGGTCTCCCCTTTACCCCATTCTCAACTGTCCCCAGTTGTCCCTGGATCCTTCCTGTTCCTTTATTTTCTCCCCCAGGACTCCCCAAGTTCTTGTGTTCACAACTGCCTAGCTGGGTCCTCTCATCCGCAGCTGTCCTCCTGCCCCCCCCAGATCCCACTGTCCCCATCTTCCCCCATGTCCCTGTCCCCTCCTCCCCCCCATCCCCTTGTTTAGCCCTGTCCCTGCAGGAAGGCCCTGGATGCGGTGGCCAAGGAGCAACTTGAGACAGCCCCAACCCGCCAGGATCAATGGGTGTGGGTGAGGGGACAGGGTGCTCAGAGGGGCCTTGGACACCTGGGACCACCTGAAACACCCTGGGACCACCCTGGGATACTTGAGATCCCAGGGGAAAACCCTAGGAGTCCTAGGACACCCTCAGGGCACCCTGCAGACACTGTAGGACAATTCTGGGGGACCTGGGACCCCTTAAGGCACTCAGGGGACATTCTAGGACATTGTGAGGACTTCAGGACCTCTTGGTAGAACCCCAGAACATCTTTGGGGACAGATAGGACACTCTAGGGACTTGAGGAATGCCTCTGGGGACCCCCCCCAAAAAACTCAGCACACCTCTGAGACCGCCATGATACCCCTGAGACCCCCTTGGGACCTCTGGGTCCCTACATGAGAACCCCCAGGGATACCACTGGGGCACCCTGGAGGTCATTCACACCCCACCTCCCCCAGTATTCCCCTAGTCTCCCTGTCTTCCTCACAGTATCCCAATTCTGTCAGTCCCAGTGTCCCTCTCCCACCCAGGACACCCTAGAATGCACTCCCAGGTGCCTATATCCCCCTCTCTCTATCCCCATATCTCCCACTGGTGTCCCCATTCCCCCTAGCAGCTGTCTAGGTGTCCGTGTCCTCCCTATGCCCCATTACCACAGCGTCCTCCTCCAGTCCCCTCGAGCTGTTCCAATACACATGTTCTTCCCTCTACATCTGCCCACATTGTGTCTCCAAAGGGTGTTCTGGTCCCTTCTGGTTTCCCTGTTGTGTCTTCTCAGGCCATCCCTAGCATGTCCCTCAGGCTGTCCCTGTCCCACCCTGGTGTCCATGTCATGTCCTCCTAGGGTGTCTCTGTTCCCCCAGTGTGCTGACAGAGGTTCTGCCAGGCCCCCCGTCCTTCTGGATGCCTACAAGAGGGCCCTGGAGCTGAGCCAGGAGCTAGACCTGGCCCCAGAGCCACTGTCAGGCCTGGTGGGCATCGTTTGCCGCACCATCACCATGTGCACAGGTGAGGGCAGGGGCAGGAGGGGACAGGGGACACACAAGGTGCAGCGTGGGGCTCATCACGACTCCCCCAACCCCAGAGACACCTCTGCCTGATGTGGAGGAATGCTACACCTACTTCAGCATCCCTCACAGACTTATTGGCACCCATGCACTCCTTGCATGCCCCTTGCATGCTTGGTGGTACCTCCATGCTCCCTGCACACTCCCCACATGCTTCTCAGCATCCACACAATTCCCTGAACACACCCCAGTATGCTTATTGGCAGTCACACACTCCCCACACACTTACTGAAGACTGCATGGTCCTCATGTACTCCTCACACACTTACAGGGCCCCTGTGCTCTTCACGTGCTTTGCACACACTTACTGGTGTCCCCACACTACTGGCACATGGTGCCCACAGGTTCCTCGCACTTTCCCTATGTACTTGGCTGAGCCTGCACACTCCTGCAGGCTTCCCAGGACTCATGCATCCCTCCTGCTCTACACCCTCACTCTCCCAACAGGCTCCTGCCATGTTCCCACCTCCCACACAATGCAGATGCAGCTCAAATGCTCTGCTACTCTTGTATGCTCCCTGCATGCTTCCCAGCCCTGCCTGTCCCTTGCCTGCCGCTGCCATGATGCCATCCCTGCAGTGCCCCCGAGTCAGTGTGGCCATGTTTGGGCTGAGCCAGGTGGCCTGCATTGCAGCCCATGTCCTTGACACAATCCTTCGGCATGCCAAGCTCTACGCCTACATCCTCACACCCCAGGTGAGCTTGGCACTGTCAGAAGTAGGTGTGCAGTGGAGGATAAGGCTTGCCCTGACCCCACTTCCTGTCTTCTGTCCCTGTCCCCAGGTCTGCCTTGACCTGGTGTATGTGGGAGGCCCCGAGAATTGCCAAGAGGGAGAGGTGCTCACCGCCCTTCCCCAGGAGGAGGAGGAAGGAGAGACCCCTGGGAAGCCCAACACAGGTCAGATCCCCCTGGCTGTGGGGTTACAGGGCAAATGCAGGGGTTTCAGGGTTCTGGGGGAACACAGGGTAATGAGGAACCCTAGATAAGCAGAGGGACACCCTGAGATCTGGGGTGCACCCCAGGGTCTCAGAGGGCTGGAGCACCATGGGGAGAGTCATGGAAGACACCCTGGGTTCCTGTGGGCACCCAGTGGTCTGGTGGGATCAAATGGGAACCTTGGGGTTATGGGGAGGGTCGTGTGGAGCACCTTGTGGTCTGGTAGGACCAAGAATGCCATTCAGGGTTACAAGGTGTTCAGGGTGTGTTTGTCTGGATGGCACCCTGGATCACAGAGAAGGGCTAGGGTCACCCTAAGATTATAGCACTGGGAATCCCCAGGAGCAGGCCACGTCCCCCTGCTTCCCCAGTTCCCCTATGCCCCTCCCTGTCCACCAGGGGCTTTGTCCTGACCCCTGTCTTCTCCCTGTCCTGCTGTGTCCCTGGTGACACATGTCCCTTGTGTTCCATGTCCCTGCTGTACTCTGTTCCTCCCATCCTCCTGTGTCCCCAGGATCCCTTCTCCCCCCAGTCGCTGGTGCCAAGCCCTAACCCCTGACTTCCATCACCCTGTATGCTCTGTCTGCATGTGTCCCCGGTTTTAGGCTCTGTCCTCTGCTCCCTCGTATCCCCTCCTTGTCCACAGGGCCCCCTGTGTCCCTGATCTCCCTGGTGCCAAGCCCTGAACCTTGTCTTCCCATGCTCCTTGTTCCCTCATCTCTGGTACCAGACCATGACCTATGTCTTTGTGTCCCCAGGGTCTCTGTTACAGGAGGTGGCAGTGCCTGAGCTGGTCCAGATGATTCAGGGGCAGAGCCAGGAGGTGTAGATGGGGCTCCTGTGTGGTCAGGATCAGCTTGGGACCTGCCTGCCCCCTCTGGAGATGCCTTTGAGCAAGGAAGACCTTTCTGGATCCCCCCAGGCCTCACCCAGCGGCAAGAAACACCTTGGAAGACCCCAGGGTTCTTGCCAGGGCAATAAAGGCCTCAGGCCCTGCCAGCATCTCTGTATCATCTCTGGGACCTGCCCCCATGTCCCCTAGGATCCCCTTAGGATTCCCCACATGGCCTCTGGGAGACCTCTGGGGAACCTCCAGTTCTACTGGGACCCCCACATTCTCTGGGACCTCCCCCCATGTCCCCAGATTCTCCCATACCCGCCCTTGGAGTCTCCCCACACATTCCCAAGCATGTAGACCCGTTTGTCACGTGTCATGACCCACCTACGAGAAGGGGGGGATGACTAAGGTCCGCAAATCCCCTCGATGTGGATTAAGGTGCGATAACACTCAAGGTCCATACACGAACATCAACTTTAATGGAACGAACACTTTATAAGCATCAACCCTCTGTGTATTAATATGTCACATAAGCTAAGGGGCTTTATGAGAAGTTGAGGTAGGCCTTGTGTTACTTAGCAGCGTCAATGGCAAAGAGCAAAGGGTGGCGGGGGGGCAGGGAAAGAGAACGAGAGAGCTGGGTTAATAAATAATACAAGCTAAGCAGCTTTATGAGGAGTTGAGGTAGGCCTTGTGTTACTTAGCAGCGTCAATGGCAAAGAGCAAAGGGTGGCGGGGGGGCAGGGAAAGAGAACGAGAGAGCTGGGAAGCAAGAGAGAGAGATACAGAGATCACCAATCCTGGATCAAGCGTTGGACCTGTCAACGCGGGGTGTCAGTGTGGAGAGCACCCCAAGGAGGCTTGTGTGCGCCCCTATTTATTGGCCCCAGTCCAAGGTTTCTAGAATCTTCTCTCACCCCAGCTTCAGGAGTGGTTGAGACATTAGTCAGTCAAGGAGAGTGACACTGGGCCCCTCCCCGTGGCTGGCTTCTGGAGCTTTCTCTTGGGGCATTGTCTGTGCTTACAGCACAGTCACTTGGGCCTCATCCCTTACAGTCACGCAATATATTTATTTTTTGCTTGCAGCCCCAGTGGATGTGGTTGCTCCGGTGGCCTTGGTCCAAATACCAAATACGATTTGTTTTCAGAACTGCAGCCTCTTGCAACAGCTGAAAACAACATGAACTAGTTGGACCTTCAGTAACTGCGTGCTATGAGAATGGCACCACCTCACTTATTCACAGTATACTGCAACCTAATACTTGCTCTGGAAGTTTGGTCTAACCTATACACTTCAAAGGTTGTGCTTGATTTCAGGTGACTGCAAAGCAACTGTGTTTTGTCAAGGCATATCCATGAGCGAAAAAAAAAAAAGCCGAATTCATGTCTTCTGAACATGTCTCCAGAGCTTTGTCTGTTCAGGCTTTTATATAGGGGTAAAGCGTTGCAGGTTGGTTTGTCCAGGCCACTCATTTTCTCATAGGCCAACTCGGCCCTAGAAGCTTCCCTGGTGTGATGAGCACCTCTGGAAGTCTGTATCTGCTTGCTCTCTCCTAAAGAGCAGAGCGCAGCTGCGACAGATGCTCCAACTATGTGTGAATGGCATCTGCAAAAGCTGACATTTATTCTTCACCCAAGGAGTGTCCCATACACATGCACATGTGCAAGACGTGCCTGCTCCTGGCCAGTCAGGTAGCCAGGCAGTGGTGACCTTGCAAGCTCATACAAAAGCCAAGTGCCTCAGTGACCTCAGAAGCACATGCCCAAACATTCCCAGGAAGACCTAGTTCAGGTATCACAGACAGAAATCCTTCTGCACTCAGGAGAGATAAGATATGCTGAGAAAATCCACCCCACTCACTACAACAGCCCTTTGTGTGAACCACTTAACAGCAGCGGCACTTCTCCCTCCGAAGAGAAGGGTGGGCACAAGGTGTGGAGCCTGAGCTCTCCGAAACACTTGCTTTAGGAGGAAAGGACCCACACACACACTTCCCATACCCCAGGCCAATTTCTTCCTTTGCAATGGGAAGGGGGTACAGTGGGGACTATCTAAGAGGATGCTTTAAACCACAATGTGTGTCAAACTGCAGAGGAAAAACTGAGAAGCTAAAAAAAGACAAGGAAATTCATAACTGAGAGAATCGGGCAACATGAGACTGTGCAGAGAGGAAGGGAAAAGGTTGGAGAGGATCATTCATTTCACGTCTTTCCACCCTCAGCGCTGTTTCCTGAGGGCTTTGGGGCTGTCTCCTTGGACATCCCAGCCCCACAGCAGGACCTTAGCACAGCCGTGGAGTTCCTTGCTCAGCACTGCCAGGCACTGGGAGGGTGGTCCCCAGGGTTGCTGTGGGTGAGGTGGGAGAGGAGCAGGGTCAGGGCATGGGAAGTGCTCAGGACACACCTGGCCAGGGAAAGTGAATGAGGGAGAAACACAGCCCCTGACCAGTGCCCCTTGAAGTATTTTTTTCCCCTAAGACACCCTCGCAGCCACCTCCTATGCTGGGTTGAGTTGCTCCTGGGAGTGATAATGACAACTGTGTTTTTATTGATTCATATTGAGTTAGGAAGTCTCAGACTGCCTGAGGCAGAAGGGCATGGCATAGGGGGAGCTGAGGGGAGCAGAACAACTGGTGCATCCTCCCAGTTTGGATTCCTCTTTCCTACATGGCCGGTGCACAGGGGCCTCTCGTGCTCCTTTGATAGCACAGGATAGCTCAGGGCATGACTCTCCTCAGCCCTGTTGTACTGCTACCTCAGGAGAAGGTACTGCTGGAGGCTCAGGCATTGCTTGATCAGGGACACCCAGGAGACACCCATATCTTGCGGTGGGTGGAACACTGTGGCCAGGAGAGAGGATGCTGGAGCCACATTTGATGCTGGAAGTACCCTATATCACCAGTTTGGAGGAGCGTGATTTTTTTTCCTCGTAGTTCCCATGTCATATTTGCCAGTGCTGAGAAGATTCCTTGGATACCTCAGGCTCCTCTGAATGGCTCTAGGCACTTGGTAAATGGATGGCCCCCACACACCAAATCAGGAAACAGTACTGGGCAGCTTTAACCATCATTCCCATTTGCCTGACATGCAGCGCAGGAGCATCATGCCCTCCCATCCTGTGGACTGTGTGTTTGGCAGAACAGGGAGAGCGCGGTCGGGAAAGGACTTCTCCCTCCTCACCTCACTTGGACAGGCAGCAAAACAGGTCACGGTCCTAGAGCTCTGATGGTCCAGTTTTGTAGTAATTTATAAAAAAAAAAAAATCTCAGAAACCCAGACCTCCATGTCCTTGCGTATTGCGGAATCCTGAGAACCCCACAGTCATGATCTTTACACAGCCACAGGTTGGGTCACCCTCGCAGGTCGTGACTGTGACTTCTACACTCAGAAACAGGCTGTAAAATCTGCATCATGATGCCCAAATCCTCCGAGAGGAACCTGCAGGAATGGAGCTGTGGGTACACACGGTCAGGCAAAGACAAGGAGGAACCAAACAACTGTAAAGGTGAAACCACTGAAAAGACACATTTGCCTTCATCACAAGCTGCTCAACAAGCCATATTTTATGACTTGAGCAAGTCATAAAAGGACATTAAACAGATAAAGAAAATTTCCATAATACCTAAAGCTGCATAACCCTAACAATTTTCTCCTGCAATAAAAAAAATTAGTAATAATGGAAAAACTTGGTAATGTTTTGTTAGTTTTGTTAACTCAACAATATAAACTTGAATTATCTTAGTGTGCTTATTTGCTAGTCAGTCATTTCAAAGTGCATCTCAATGCTAATGAAAATAAAATCTCATGTGCTTTATAAAAGCATCTGAAATGACTAGTGTTTTTTAATTTATGTTAAGATGTTTTCTCCTCATTTAGTAACTAAAGTGTCAATTTAGGAAGCAGTGGTTGCATTTTTATGTATATTACTAATGTAATGCCATCAGGATAATAAAAGCCAAACAACAAAACAAAATGGGTGTTAAAGTAAATATTATTTGGGCTACTACTTTTTATGTATTCTCACTAGATATTTATTAATACAATTAATGCTGGAAAGCAGCATATTTAACCTTTTTCCCACCTCTACAGTCTTTACCTCTTTGGCCCAGTGTGACATTTTATGCTCAATCTCTTTTTTCCTCCTCTATCTACGTGTTTTCCTGACAGTTTGTGCTCCCAGCCCAAACTAAATTAAAAAAAATAATTTTTATTTGGAGCTATTTAAACTTAATACTCCATCAAGGATATTTTTACCAACAATGGTGTTGCAGTTGAGCTCCCGTCAGCATCCCTTAAGTGTAATAATGCCAAATACTCTGGCCAAGTCAAGACATTTGATATCTCCTTATGATTCGTCTCACTTTTAAGTTATTAAAACTCACAAAACCCAGTAATTGCCAATGTAGAAACTGAGCGTGTGTGACTTGCCTTAAAGAAAACAATCCTGGTACTATTAGGGGTTAAACTGGTTTTTGTATTCAGAAAGTTTGCCATCCTGATTTTACTTAAGGCAATGGTAGATTTTTCTGCTGACTGCAGTGAGATAATTGAGTGAGACTTAGGAACTGCAAGATAGCACATCTCTTAGTTTACTATCCATGCTTGCTGCCAGTTGTCTCCCTTAAAAATAAAAGAAACAAAATGTATTATTGTTAGGCCATATAAATGATTCATTTTTGCCAATTCTGTTCTTAATTGTGGTTACCAATTTTAAATACGTTCAAATGTTCTATAAAAGGCAATTTCCTTCTGTCATCTTGGATACTCTCACAGCACACAGGTTTGCAGGGACAAAATATGCTTTGTTCACCATCCAATTGTAAAATAAAGATCAAGAAATTGTCAAATCCACAAAGATCTCCTGAAGGATTTTGAAAACCTCAGTCTCCGTCTGCATTATGAAATAAAATGAAACCTACCAAGTGAAATGTCTGAAGAGCAGCAAAAAACCCCACTGTGCAATAGCTGTAAAAAGGGAATCTGTAGGTAAGATTACTTTTCAATTATTTTTAAAAAAAGAAAAATTCTCTTTTGCATGTTTTTCCTGAAAATAAAACAATGTAAGGCTAATGAATTCTGTGTTACCATTTGAGACAATGATTTGATCTCTTCCTGTAAGGCTATTATACTATCTAGCATTGCATTACTAACTTTTTCTAATTCCGCTGATACATTTACAATAGCTCTTTCTAGTTCAGCAACCT